ACTTTGGGTAAATTGAGATGAAAGAAGCAAAACAGATACAGAGAGAAAGTGACATAATATTGGGAGAAGAGAGGAGAGAGCCCAATTCTGGAATGTGTTGCTCGAGAACCACCCTCTTGCAATCTAGGACCCCTCGGAAAATGTGGGATCCTAACAAGCCAGGCCAAAGGACCCCACCGGTGCATGAATGTGTGCACTGGGACTCTAGTAGACTTTTACTAGATCTAGAAGGAGCTTCAGACTTCATCTAATCTCCTGGTTCAAACTCATTGTATAGATAAGGAAACTAAGACGCAGAATGATAAACTGATGGGGTTATAGAGGCTGTTTTATAAACCTGGAGGATACAGTAAATGGTGGAAGTGTGGAGCTCCTGATGTCATGAGCCACCTTATTGGTATGGCTATTTGCACCGTCACTTTCAAAGCAACCTCTGATGAATGTTAATGCAGTGGGAAGTTGCCTCCAAATGGAGGAAAACCTACTGGTTGCTATTGCCAGTTCAATCAGGTAAACAACCAAAGGCAAGTGGTCATTCCAGCTGCCATGTATTTCTTTGCACAATTTCCTCTTTTCCCTTACTCTGTTGTGTTTGAACTGATATTATGCCTTGGAGTATATGTGTATTTCTGAACCAAATTAGGAGCTCAGCAGAGCTTTTCAGCACTTTAAGAGAGTCTGTCACATACAGAACCCACTTTCAAGACTTTAATACTTCTGTCAGCCATGCCTTTTTTGAAAACTACTCTCCAAAAATACTCCCTCCACACCACTTAGCTCAGCTTTTGGAGTCCACCAGCGTATGTGCATGCCAGTGCCTCCCACCTTCCCAACCTTGCATGCCTCTAGGAAGAATGGAATCCTTGTGGTTTCCATGGCATTTCCCAGCACTTCTCTGAAAACTCACGGCTTAATTCTGATGTGGGCACTTATGTTACAGTCATTAATTACTGCATTAAATCAAGTCACCAAACTAATGATGGTTTGGACATAGAATAGGAAAATGAGAATGTAATTTTGCCTGGATTATAGAATATAAAGATAAACATGATCCAAATAAGCACGGAGAGAAGAAATCACAGGTTTTTATAGCTGCTTTCTAGCAGAAAATATGGACTTATGCATCTCATCAAAACTGAGAGTAAAATAAGCAAAGTATCACCATTAGTAACATTTAAACAGGGTTTAGTTCACTGTGCATTTTATTTTCAGCTCTGACATCTAAATAGAGAATGTTCTTTTTTCCTATGCCATAAAAAGCATTCTGTTACTAAAGCTGGAATCTTTTTAAATTCTTGCATTGGACCTTAGGATGAGGCAAGGATGGATAGCTATGTGAAAAAAAGTTGTCCTTGTATGTGGGTAGGTAGAGTAAGTCATTAGATAGGATTGTTTGGAAAGCACCATTGGATAGCTTTCTAGAAATCTACACTCCACCTACACTCAGTGGCGTCTGTAACCTACCATTAGAGGGGGAAGGCTTGTCAATCCCCAAGAGTTCTCTATACAACAAGTACTGCTGGGAAGGCTGACTCATCAATACCTAGAATTATGAATGGCATCAAAAGGGTTTAACAAGCAAATATCCTCCAACACTATTAAGGAATAAGTTGTAGTTCAGGGAGAGTTTCCTTATGAGGGTAGCCAATACCTTGGTGCTATGAGGTACTGTTGTGGAGGGACAAACCTATAATTATTTATAGTTTAGAAAACTTTCTTCAGTTGAGGGTAACAAAGACCCCCAGGTACCTGGTAAGTCAATTAAGAAGGCATTAAAGGCAAATAGTATTTCCTTCATAACATTGCTATGTCATACCTGTACTAGAAAGTGAGTTCTGTACATGCAGTAACCCTTGAAGCAATTTTTTAAAAATATATTTTATTGAGTTTTTACAGAGAAGAAGAGAGAGGGATAGAGAGTTAGAAACATCGATGAGAGAGAATCATCGATCAGCTGCCTCTTGCACACCCCCTGCTGGGGATGTGCCCACAACCCAGGTACATGCCCTTAACTGGAATCAAACCTGGGACCTTTCCGTCCGCAGGCTGAGGGTCTATCCACTGGTCAAACCGGTTTTGGCATTGAAGCAATTTTTAACAGTTGGAAGGTCATAGCTTCCTTAGAAAGATAATTATGTCTTTCTCCAAACAAACAAACAAAAAAGAGTTGAAATAACCTAATGTAAAAAAAAAAAATGTGCAAAGTTTTAAATCCCAAGGGGATTTAAGGAATCAGTCATTAGATAGGATTGTTTGGAAAGCACTTTGGAGTTTTCACCTACCCCTCAGATTAAGCATCCCTTAAGGAGGGGGTCAGTCCTAATCTTAATATCTGGAGTTTGTAGGGATCTATCTCGGTCAGTTTATTCATTAATCTCATAGAATACAAACAGCGGAGGAGAAACTAACCCAGCCAGCCACAGGACAAACTCCACTCCATGCAGAGCTATTTTATGTATTTCAAAGCCTGTAATGTGCTACAGTTGGAACCAAAGATAGAATTGCCTCTGGATCTAGGTCTGGGGAACATTATATTCTTCGTAGTTCTAGAATAGAAAGGACTTCATGGAACAAAAAATTCCTGGTTTTATTGCAGCAGTGCAAGATGCTAGGTATTTTCTAGAGCAAATGCCACCCAAAGCCCAGAGGGTTAGCTGGAGCAGCTGATGCCCTGTGCTGCTTTTTATAACTCTTCCCCCCTGTACCACGCTCTACATATGTCCCATTTCATCAGGTCACATCAACTTAGGTTGTGCTCAATACTGCATCTTACACCAAATGCATCACCAAGTGTAATATTTTGTTTCCTTAAATTTTTTTATAAGAATAAAAGTAAAGTTCCTTAAAAATAAAATAAGGGAATTTCCTCGTTCTTTAAGTAAGCAGTGACTGATTATTTTTTACAAATGAGTAGCTTCCTTTGTTCTACATGGCATTGGGGATGTCAGCCATCATCAAGCTGTGAAATTACTAGGTTAAGAATGCAACATATGTACAAACATAAATTGTATATAGAGTTGTAAAATGAAGTTTTAATAGTATGAGTCTGTAAACTTGTAGAAATTATTCACAAAGCTACTAGCTGCCCATTTTTGGGGGGGATAATAATATTGGAGAAAAAGGAATAATTTTATAAAGGATCTTTAAAATGTCAATACTTGTACAGTGTATTAGACAGTCTAATATACAATACATTGTCTAGGCCTTTGGGAGGGATTATAGAAGATGCAAAATCCAAATATGTTGAATAAAAAGAGCTTACTAATTTGAAAGAATGTTAACTTTAATATACAAACAGCCATGATTTTATTTATTGATCACATCCTCTGTGTCATGTATTATGGTAAGTATTTTTAAATATGTTTTTATTGGTTTTAGAGACAGAGGAAGGGATAGGGAGGGGGAGAGAAACATTGATTGGTTACCTCCCATATACACCCTAACCAGGAATTGAACCCACAAAGTGGACATGTGCCCTGAACCAGAATCAAACCAGCAACTTCTAGAAGCACAGGACAATGCTCAACCAACTTAGACACATTGGCCAGGGTGGTGGCAAGAATTTTTATATACTCTATATCAGGGGTCAGAAAAGTATGAACAAAGAATCAAATCTAGTCTACAACCTGGTTTTGAACATAAAGTTTTATTGAAATGCAGCCACACTCAATTGTTTGAGTATTGTCTATGGCTGCTTTTACACTACAATGGCACAGTTGAGTAGTTGTGACAAAATTGGGACAGTCGAGCCCCCAAAGCTAAAATACTGTCTGGCCCTGTGTAACAAAAAATAAAAATATTTGCTCTATATCATCCAGTCTTACAAGAATACTCAGAAATAAATATGGTGTTTCCCATTTTACTGTTAAGATACCTGAGGGATATGTGTTACGTTACTTAATAAGTGGCAAAGCTTGGATTTGATTTTAGATATGTTGTGTTCCCAAAGTCCATGTTCTTATGCTAATTCATGTATAGAAATACCAAAATGTGAGATATTAAGAAATAAGAGCTTTAGAAATTCACAGAGAAACTGTTATTAGAATTCAGAGAAGAGAGATTATTTTGAGCTTGGATTGATGAAGATTTTGGATGTTATATTAGAACTAGTAGCCTTGTGCATGAATCCATGCACCAGTAGCTCTCTGTGGGGCCTGGCTCCTTTGTGCCTGCTGCTCAGAGGCTCTCCACAGCTCAGAGGCCCTCGGTGGCCAAGGCGCCTCATTGCCTCAGCCATGACATAAGCATTCTGCCAGGCTGCTCACACTGCTTGCTCTCAGTGGCCACCCCTGCAGGATGGGGAGACTCTGGGATGGCTGAGGAGACTGGGCGCTGCCATCTTGTGGCTATGGGCACTGCCATCTTTGTGATGGAGTGATGGTTAATTTGCACATTACCCTTTTATTAGATAGGATATAAGGGCTAAAATGGATCTTAAGAATTGTCTGTCTCAAGCTCAAGCTCAAGAAAAGTTTAGAGATCAAGTTTACATGTTTAGTTAGAAGCAAAGCTGGCATTAGAACCAGTTTTCCACTCACCCAGCCCGACGTATGGTGTCAGTGACCATGGTGAGCATTGAAATTCCGTGTGTGTGTGTGGTGGGGGGTGGGGGGAGTGGTTAAATTTTATTGTATGACAGTATTATTTGAAATGATACTTTGTACATTATATTCTATTATAATTGAACTAAAGGGCTCTGGTTTCTTTATTGAATTCATCAGTAACACATTTGTGCAGATATTTACACAATACCATCATATACAATACATATATATATATATATATATATATATATATATATATATACACACACACACACACATATATTTAGGTAATCACCCTCTGAGATTATGTGAACCTCTCACCAACTTTAAGATTCAAAACATAAACAAGAGACCACAAAAGTCAAATATTCACATATGTCTTGCCATGCAGAATTAGACAGCTCTAGGCCAGGAGAAATATAGCGAACTGAACAGGTGCAGTCAAAGCAAGCTTACCTGATACTGTAAAGCACTTTGCCAGTTTTTGAAATGCGAAGCAATTTGTTGTCAGTGGTAACATCATGGAAATTGGCACCCTTCTCATTGGCAAAGAACAAATCTGGTTTCCAAATGGAATCTAGCATCGATGGATCCAGGTCCAGGGAATCATCAGGGTACTCGCTATATGCCAAACGTGAATCATTCCACTGTTGTCTCAGAAAAATGTTCACTCGGTAATCCTACAGAAATGCCATGGAAAGGTGTTACTTATCACCCATTCTGGCATACGAGGTCCATCTACATTTTCCCTCACTCTTCTCTCTAATTTGGTGCAGTGTTGGTTTATACCTTGGAGTAAAGCAGGGTGTGTATACGGTGGTCAAAAATAAACCATTCCATTTTATTAGGAGTGGGGGGAAAGGGGACAAAGTAAAAAAAAACAACTCAGCCAGATCAGGTAGACTTGGTTGAATTGTTTACATTTGAATTACTAATTATTGGAGAAAACAGTATCAACTCAAGCCGATTTTTCTATAGGAAAAGGTAATGATGAGTACAGAAGTCAGTCTGCGATGTCAGATAAAATGGATTCATTTTCCAAATCAGAAATGCTCTGATCTCTTTCCTCATTCTGCTCAGATGCTCTGGGCAGAAGCAAGCCCACTCTGTACTTTTGATAGTGAAAATATTTTTGGAAAAATTCTTACATGATGGGGCAATATTTCTTTAACTCATCAACATAAATATTTATTAATGTGTTTCATATTGATAATTCCCGTACAGCTACTTACTTTTGAAATTATTAAATATTTTAGCACTTATGTGAATGGGTATCTATAGTAGTCAACTTGATGCTTCATCAAAACAGAGATCTTTTTCATGTTCTTCTCACCTGAGCACCTTCTAACAAATGTGTTCTTTTCGTGGGAGCCTCAGGTACACCCTGTTATTCCCACTTGGTCTGGAAATTTCTTTCGGTGCTAATGAATCAGCATAGGGCAGCGATTGCTCTCTTGAGGATTTCTACTCAAAAGTCTTTAGATTCATGGAAACTGTTGCTTTGCTTGATAGAGTGGACCCCATGTAGGTTTCAACTGTATTCCCTGGTCAAGTGGGACTAAGGTTTAGAGCTAATAGTTGTCCATTCCTGACATGTGTGCCCATTTAGGGTGATATGTACTCATTCCTTCTTACATTCTTCCCTTTACCATTTTATTCAAATTTGCTCTATTTCCACACCTTTGGCACCTGGACTTTTGATAATTGTTTACATTACTGGTGGCCAATTTGTCCTTGTTTGCTTGAGAACTTCCTAGTTTTAGTCCCCAAAGTCCCATATTCAGGGAACACACTCAATCCCAGGTGAAATTGGGATGGTTAGTTACTCTACCAGCTATAATGGAGGCCACCTCAGGATGGTCAGTTTTGGTTAACTAACTTCAGGGCCAAAAGAAAAAAATGAATTAAGTTATAAAGATCAGGGTATATGGAAAAGAGTTTCAGTTCAGTTCTTTCTACCTACCCTGTTTCCCAAAAAATAAGACAGTGTCTTATATTAATTTTTTTCTCCCAAAGTTGTGCTAGGTCTTATTTTCAGGAGATGTCTTATCTTTCCATGCGCTAGGTCTTATTTTCGAAGGATGTCTTATTTTCAGGAAAACATGGTATTACTAAACTGTTCAATTTTCCATGACTTCTTTTCAAATACAGCCATGCTGATGATCAGGCTGATAGAGTATTTTGAAGGTATGGCTTTTAGAATGAGTGCTCAATATATATGGCCTAGAGAATGCTAATAATCAAATGGTTATTAACTTCTGAAAATTAGTCATCAAAACTCAGCTTATTTTGAAAGGCTGAAGTATGAAAAGAAATAACCTTATATAATAATTCTCAATTGTACAACCTAATGACTTTCTGACTTGGAAAACTTTACCAGCTGACTTTTGAGATTATACCAGGCCTGTGCAGCAAATTCTCAGACCTAAGAGAGTGCTGTGTTTGGCCCATCCATATTTCCATCCCATCCTATGTGTTCACTGTGTATATACTCCCTCCCCCAGTGATCCAACCAAAGGAATGGCAGAACCTCAAGGTTTTCCTCATCATGTATTTTGGAATTGTCCAAAGGGACCAGAAGGTTGTAACTGGAAAGAGATGACCAGGTCTGTGTTTCATTGTCAATAGGAGTTACTGGAAGCTTCAGGGTTTTGTGTGAGTAAAGAATGGAAGGTGTGATTTTTGGAAAAATTTTAAAAGGCCATTGAAAATGTAATAATTCAATATAAGTATGCACTAGATGTATCAATTGTGAGATTTTTAAAGATTTTCTGAGGGGGAAAAATGGAGCTTCTACAGTCCTTGATATTCACCCCTTTTATCAATATTTCCCTTAGAGTGAGAACCAGTTATCCATAACAATTCCAATTGTGGAGGTAGAGAAACTTTAGATACAGAATGTAATGACAGCTGGAAATAACAGAAGTGAATGGGTTAAATATTTTAGGCCATCACAAGGCCAAGGAGGGACACCCAGGAAGTAATCATAGGATGCTAGGCTGCAAGAGGACATAAGAAGCCAGATAAAATGTATGGGGAGGCAAAATCACCAGGATACATTGCAATTCTCCCTTGAACCTGTGAAACATTTAAATATGCATGTTGAGAGACTCTAGAGAGCATTACATTAGTGGCATACAATATGAAAACATTGACCTTTCAAAAGAATCTCAATGTAATTTTTTTACAGCGAATGTAACATCTTTTTAAAAAAAAGTATTTTCCACAAGTATTCTCCAGTTTTCCTGAGTGTTTTCTTAAATTACATATAGAGATAAAATAATAAAATAGATTCTCCCACTATTAGAACTTTAAAAAGATCACTGAACCTATTATGCCACAGTAGAACCATTAACTGTTTAACAGTTAATTTAAAATAAATTAATCCTCCTATTTGTAAGCAAGGATAATTGGAAACTTAAAGTAGAACATATATCTTATGCCACAGTTAAAGGAATTATGTGAAATAAGTCCTTTATTAGATCTTATAGAAGTATTTGTTCTTTATAAAATATAGGAATTAAATTTTCCATAATTTTATTTATGATGACATACACTATTCCAAAATAAATAGCAGCCCTTAACACCTATTAGAGTAGAAAAGGACACCCAAGGACCTAGAGAAGTAGATAGCCCAAGAAAATATTTTCTGAGGTTGTGCCTCTGTAATTTTTTTCAGTTTTCTATCATTGTCACTGCAGGGTAGACATTACTCATGGGTGCTTTATCTGTGCATCATCTCTGTTTATTTATAGATAGGTTTATTCTCTCATGACACTCCAAACTACACGAGTTAGTTATATTGTTCTGTAGTCTTCTTTGCTTTTATTTTTGCTTCTAGGTTTAATGAAATATTAAAGGGGAGAAAAATATTGAGAGACATGCCTAAATGCAGTCTGAATTTTCTTTTACACTGTCATCTCTCTCCAGAGACAGATTCTACTTCAAATAAATATTTCCTTATGTTAAAATTTATCTTCCTATTATTGACTATGTGGATATTGGATTAGCTAATGGATTTATATTTTTTTCATAAGCTATGTATAAGTCGTACAGTATTTACTATATTCTTAATATAGGTAATACAGGTACCTATATTCCATACTGTTATTTCCTATTAAGTTGAGAATTTCTAAAGTTTTACTTTTTCTGGTAATTTCTAATATGGAGCTGATGCCACAAAGATTGTTTCCTTAAGTTGAATTATTTTTGTACTATTATATTTAGCCTGGAATTTGTACATTGAGGTTCCCACACTGCCTTATACATACTCTTATTAAACCTTACCATTACTGTTTTATTATTTAAAATGCATATACATTTTAATCCAATTATGTTATGTTATCAAAGACAAAGGTATTCTTCATTGATTCCCCACAGTGGCTATGTGGCACTTTGGTTTTAACCTCTGGCTGTACAGTAGTACAGTTTTCATCATCTTGAGTCTATGCTAGCTTTGATATAGAAAGTTACCTTTGAATTTGAAATCATGGGGAAGCAGTTACTTTATGATGAATTCAGGATTTAACATTGTGTTGTTAATGTAGAGGCTAAGGTCACCTTATATCTCAGTTTAACAAAATGCCCGGCTTGTGGAAGGTTCTTGGTTCTTCTTTAAAAAATAAAAAATAAAAGAGATAGTTACCTGCTATTCCTAATAAGCTTGCATCTCCTTATGAGTTGCTTATGCAGCTATAGAATAAAAGGGAGCTGATAGTGTCATTTCAGCAGTTATAACACAGCATGTGTTCTTATAAGGAGCTGTCTACCTCTTATCCAGTTCCTCAGGAACATAATTTCAGATCAGAGATAAAACAACTCTTTACCCTGCAACAGTAATCCGCAGAGAATGTGGAATTGTTCCTCCGGGACAGAATTTTGGAGAGCCAAGATCATATTGTGAAGATGCTCACTAAGTGGACAAATTTTGCATACTTCAGCTCTTGCTGCTTCCTTTCTCCAAATCTGTTCAGTGAGGAAGGTGTCAGATCTGATGCTGTGGCATGGGTAGTGAGTGTTCAGCACCCACAGTCCCTCTGTCTGCCCACATCCTTCCAGGCAGTCATTAGAAAGCTTTGAGGAGACCCTCTTTTTTTCCATTTTATTGTTTTAAAATATGTTTTATTGATTTCAGAGAGAGGAAATGATATATAAATGACCTTTTACGGAAAGAAATTATTCTCTCTCTCATACATATATAATGAGAGAGAATCATTGATTGGCTGCTTCCAGCACACTCCCTACTGGGGATCCAGCCTGCAACCGGGGCATGTGCTTTGATTGGGTTCAAACTATAACCTCCTGATTCATAGGTTGACAGTCAACCACTGAGCTACATTGGCTGGGCTTTTTCCATTTTCTGATGGCCTATCCTTGGAGAGAGTTGCATGCAGATGTCATGCAAATCCTCTTGACCTTTACTGACATTATTAATATTGCCAAACTATGCCTTTAAATCAGGAAAGAGGGGTTTGCAAATATAATCCCCATCCTGTAAATTCATTTGCCATCAGCAGCTAAAGAGAAGGAGGAAAGAAAAGGAAATGGTAACTGTCATTCCCAAAAACAACATAACCTTTCTCATTATACATCCCTTACTAGTCTTTTGGAAGCCACAAAAAAACATTGTTCCACTGAATACTCTTAACACAATAGCAATGACCATCAACAGATCCCTGTGGCTCTTAATGAACAAAAGTATGTATTTTGGAATAATGTATGCCATCATAATGATCCATAAAAATATTTCTTAGAATAACACAAATATGCTATCCTGTGAGCACACATCTTCAACACTAACATATCAGAAGAGTGAGTTAGAGGCCACATTCAATCTGTAAGCAAGCCTTGTTTTGTGGGCAGGTAATACCAACAATTACTTAGTATTTCATCCAACATATTATGGGATTTCATCAAACATAAAAGGGGAAAACTGGATAGCACCAAAAGAAAGTCGTGTCAAGTTCTTAATCAGAAAATTATTGCCTCTTATTTAGGAACAAATAAACACCTAAAATAAATCTTGCAATAATGCTATAGGGCTATGTGGTGTGAGTGGCACATATAGAGAGAGGAAAATCATGTTTAGAAACTCAAAATTCTGAGGTATTCTTGTAAAAATCTATTCCAGAAAATTTAGAGAAAGCGAAACTATTACCCCTCAAATAGCATAATCACTGTCCTCAATGACCACATCCATTACTGTGCTTGAAAGAATCTGGTTCTGTTTAACATTTTTGATCAATTTTTGAGACAAATTTCTGAAAGTATGGGTAAAATCATGGATGGTAGAACCTTGGGTTTTGGTAAAGGAAGCTCAGGCTGTGATGACACTGTAGACCACATGTGTCAAACACAAGGCCCACGGGCCAAATCCGTCCCGCCAGGCCTTGCAATGTGGCCCGCACCGCGCTGTCATCACTGCACTCCGCTGCGTTTCCATCACAATGACAGTTTATGACTGTTCAGTAAACCATTCGGCCCGCGATTTAGGCTGGATTTTAGATTTTGGCCCCTTCTCTGATTGAGTTCGACACCCCTACCATCAGGTAGATTCCCAAGCAGGGCCTAAGGGAGCTGGGAAGATAAGACCCTTTTGAGGGTGGAGAAATTCATACATTCTTATGAGTACCTGGATATTTAAATGTGATGCCTTAAACTTGGGGTTGGCAATTGGCCATAGCCTGTTTTCATAAGTATTTTTTTTTAGTGTGGCCTCATCAATTTGCTTACTATTGTTTATGACTGCTTCATGCCAAAGGGCAGAATTGACTGAGACTGCCTGGCCCTCAAAGTCTTAAATATTTATGGAATGGCCTTTTACAGAAAGAAAATTTGCCAGTCCCTACCTTATGTGGTACAAGGATTTATATTTGACTTAAATATGATAGTTTCAAAAACATTTCTTAGCTTCACACATATTGAAGAAAATAAATGAGCTTAAAAAAACAAATGAAGTTTGTCATTACATTAAAAGCTAAGAAATAAAATAGAAGCTTAATGCACATCACTCTTCTGACCATGTAATTCAATATAGCTCATGCAGCAGAACAGACAAGCTGTTGATATTACACTGGAGCAATGATTTCCAAATTCACTCATAGGAAACTTGACAAAGAACACCATCATAAATGACCAGAAGCATCAAAGCAGCCCATTTATTAAACACCTTCAGTAGCTGATAAAGACTCTGGAAAACAAGGATCTCCATAGTCTCCATGTTCATCTCCTTAAATAGTAAGCTTTTTCTTGCATTAATGAGCATCGAAAAGGTGCGCATTTGCATTTCTGATTGAGGGTAAAATGCAATGAGGAGATTTAATCAAAGCAACTTAGGAGACTAATTAATGCAATTAGCATTAGGTCGTGCAAATATTGTCATTGAATGCCATCGTGTAAAGCTGGTGACAGTGATTTGTGCTGCTGGGAAATTTATCAGGATAAAACCAAGAGGGGAGAGACACAGACTGAATGCCAAGCTCAGAGTTTCAGTATTCTTTCCATGTTCAGCTTTTATTATGTCATTTAATAACCCTATCAAAACTATCTTATTTGGGTAAAATTATTTATGCACTATGTTCTGTCAAGGCCCATAAGTCTCATTTCTGGACAATGCTATGCCAGAGTACTGTATGTCATAATATTATAGTGGGTAGTGGGGTTGATTATACCTAATTTTGCCAGTGGGAAGGAGTGGTAAAACATAAATTATTTTTTTCTAGCATCAAGGATACTGAAAAGTACAATAATTTGTTAGACATGGTCCTAGTAGGCTCAAAGAGAAAATTCATAAAACAGGGGAACATTATTTTTTACTTCTCAGTGGCATTGTGCTCATTATTTCACTTCTTGAGTGTTTCTATTATAGTACATCAGCCATCATTACTATTTGATCAAGCTCAACTATATTTTATTTTTATCTCATCCAATAATATGGTTTTATATTTTACAGTCATAAAAATTAAAACCAGCCAATTGACTTAGGACATAAAAGAAATTGTATAGGGAACAAGATAATATTTCACTCCAAAAGCAATCTCCACACTGTAGCCTAGCACTGTATAGCTACTGACCAAATAGGCTGTGTAAAGGCAACACCATAACCATGACATCTATAAGGAATCCAGTGAATTTTAAAGTATTGAAAACCATTTCCACATATGTGAAACATGTTTGCATGTACATTATGATGAGCTTTAAATAGTCTTATGTTATTTTTTTAAAGCCATGCATGTAATTGCTATAGACTCAAGACTACTTTCTACTGCCAACAAAATTGTGTGTGTGTGTGTGTGTGTGCATGAATGTGTTTATTGTAAAGTCAGCCCCTTGGTATATATCTTAAAACATTGTATACACGAGGCCTGACTATATTAAAACTTAGAGTATATGAAAAATAATGGCTAGAAAATGTTTTCCAAACTTTGAAATTATTTTTCTGAGGCATAGGAGATGCAAGTATTTAAATATCCTTAACTATATCTTTACCTAAATCTAACTAGCATCAAGTGTTTTCAAAATTTCCTTGGCATGATGGATAAAAGAGTATTGAGTTTTAAGTAATGAGCACTTGACTAATGACTTTCTAAAGTAAAAGAGTATAAATAATTACTCTCTAAAGGTGAATGAACTTGGAAATTGGCACCCAGTAAATATCCCACAGACATACAATAGTGCTCTTAGATCCCATTCCTTCACACCATGGCTTCAATGTTCAGTCCCACTCACCATTGTAGTTTCTGCAACTGACCCAAAGCTGTTGATAAATATGTTGCAGGTAACATTTACAGGAGGCCCTGCAAGTTGAACAATAAATAGAAAATTTGACAGGTTGTGTTCATGGCATAATCAAGTCAAGTTTTTCTCTTGCCAGTGGCATTGTAGCACTTACCATGGTGGTTTCTGTGACTGATCCAAAACTGTTGATAAAAATATTGCAAGTAACGTTTACTGGAGGACCTGCAGAACGCAATAAGAATATTGCAATACACATGGAAGCAAAAAATGCAGCCTCATCAACATCTGTGCAAATGACTGGAGATGTAAACAAAAATAAAATGATGGTGAGAGTGCAAAAAAAAAAAAATGTTTACCCAGAGGTTTATAGTGATAGCATTCCCATTGGTACTTTAAATAATAACAGTTAAGCAATGGTAACTTACCCTGAAGAATTTTGGACTTGGAAAATACAAACTGAAGACTTAAACTGAATTCATTGTCAATAGTTGCTATCAAAATAGCCTTTTGGGTAGGTGGATTTTTTTCATCTTAGACTCAACAATACTGTAGACATTAACAGTGAGCACCCCACGGTGATGAAATAAGCCTGGGTCATGAGTTGAAATGGAGCTATAGTTTGAACTGTGCATGGGTCAGGGTTCACCTTTCCTGTGACACCCTTTAAATCAGTACGTCTAGTTTGATTATTCTCATGCCTATGAATTTACCCCATTTTTCTATAACCTCTTGGAACTCTTACAATGAAAAATTACATATAGAAATACAAAAATATTAAGAACATTAGCTCACTTTAAGAAAATAAAAAAATAGATGTCAATTATGTCCAGATTGTTGCCTCAGCAAATATAATGTAAAAGCAATGGTTTATTAATGCTAGATGTGCTTTGAATAAAGCCCTTTTTTTTTTCTTTAAAGAGACAGGGACTAGCTCTCTTTTCCCATCCCCCTTGGCTTCTATCCAAGCACTAACCTGGCCAGACTCTACTAAGCTTCAGAGATCAGATGAGGTCAGGTGTGTTCAGAAAAATATGGCCACAGACTCTTTGCTCTTTGACAATAGATAAATCACTCTGATGATTTTCAGTTTAATTTTTTGCTGGGGAATTTATTGCCCTCATGTAAGTTTCCCCTGTGCTTTCTGAGATAAGAACATACTGCAATGAACCATCTTTGCTTTTCCTGGTGGAAGTTTGTCTTCACTCATAAAAGGATAAGGATAGATATGTAATACCTTAATCAATAAAGAAATTTAAAAATGAATAAAATAAATAAAAGGCTCAGCAGCCTGATGCAAGCTACACCTAGTTGGATCTCTACTCACTTAGCTGATAGGATCCGAACGAGGAGGAGTTTGGCTTGAGACCTCCTTCAAAGGCTAATAAAATACAGCTATGGTGGCACTTGAACACCATGTCTTTGAACTCTACAAGTCCATGTTGGGTTTTCAAAATGAGGAAAGGAAACGGGCTAAACAGCAAACTTAAATCTGCAGGCAAGGACCTTTGTAAAAGGAGTGGAGAGTTTTGGTGAAAGAGATATGTTCATCTGTTGTTCTTTCCAGCATAACTAGCTTTTCTGATAAAAATGTATTACTTTAAAAAGTTTGCAGACACCACCATATTTTAAAAAAAGATATTTTATTGATTTTTTTACAGAGAGGAAGAGAGAGGGATAGAGAGTTAGAAATATCGATAAGAGAGAATCAACAATCAGCTGCCTCTTGCACACCCCCTACTAGGGATGTGCCCACAACCAAGGTACATGCCCTTGACCAGAATCAAACCTGGAACCTTTCAGTCCGAAGGCCGATTTAGGTGACACCGGTTTAGGCGACACCACCATATTACCAAAATGTTTTAAAGCCTCCAAGTCTTGTACTCATCCCTTCCCCCTTATTTCAGCATCTGCTAAGATGGCTTCTCCATAGTCACTTCCTGCTCTGCTTGATATCATTTTTGTTTTTTGGTTACTCAAAACAAAACAAAATAAAAAGAGTATCTTTTTTGTTATAAAATTCTATTCTATAACACTAATGTTTCTACTAATAAGAAATACATTATGCAAGGTAGAAGCGAGTCATGAGAAATTATATGTTTTCATTTTTGTTCTTTTTACACTAAAACCTTTTATTTTAGATTGTCTAATTCATGATGGAAAACTTTCATGATTTTTTATATGCAAGATATATAGAAAATGAATGATGTGGAAAGAAATAGGAAAAGAGAAATGCCATCTTCACAGGAGTGTTTTCTTGTACTGTACAATATCTGTTTGGCCTCTGACTTGGAACCATTGAAAGGCCATACATTTGTTTTTATCCTTCCCAGTAAATGGCAGTGTGAGTATGTTGCTAAACTCAAAAAATTTTTAAGCTACCATGTATTGGCACCCTCTACTAGTTATATTACAATTACCTAGTTTAATCCTTACAAAGAGGAATTGTTTTATTGTTCCAGTACATTTTTTCATATGTGGGAACTGGGGGTTAGAGAGGTTAAGTAACTTGCTTAAAGTCATGTCACAGTAATTAGAAAAGCAGAGACTCTGTGTCTCATCATTCTGATCCCCCAAACCGAAACTTTCAACCGATTTGCTCCATTGCATTCATTAGAAAGTATCTTCTCTCCCTTCTGACCCACCAATCACAGCATTTCCCATTGGTTTGTAACTTTCTGGGATAATTTTATCCTTTACATCTGACCTCTTCAATCTTAGGCATTGTCTCAAGGTTCATTTGCATTTAGATATAAAACCAAGAGAAAAAAAGCTTTTTGTTTTTTTAATGAGGGATTAGCACATGCATATAATAAGAGTTGACACATATTAAATCCTCACTGTGTGTCAGTAGTCGCCTTATTTAATTCTTCAATAGTTAGGTGTTGCCATGCCCTCCCTCTTATAAAGAAAATGAGGCACAAAGGTGGTTAGTTAAATTTTTTTTAAGGTCACAGAGTTTGTAAGAGGCAGAAATTGCTTAACATTAGGCACACTTTTTTTTAAGTATAAAAGTAAAATATCTGAGGCCAATAGAATTATCTTAATGATAGAAGCTACAAATCTTTCACCTCTTTGGTTTAATTTATTATTAGGTATTTTATTCTTGTAGATGCTATTTTAAATGGAACTGTTAATTTTTTTCAGATTGTTCATTGCAGCTGTGTAAAAACACAGCTGATTTTTGTGTATTGATCTTAAATGCTGCAATTTTGCTGAATTCACTTGTTGGCTCTGGTAGTTTCCTTTTAGATTATTTGGGATTTAAAATATATAGGATCACGTCACCAACAAATATAGTTTTACTTCTTCCTTTTAAATTTGGATGCTTTATTCCTTTTTCTTTAATTGCTCTGTAGAAAAGTTCCAATACTATGTTGAATAGCAATAGTGAAACAAGATAGTCCTTATCTTGTTTCTGATCCTAGGGAGAAAGCTTTTAGTCTTTTATCATTGGGTATGCTTTCTGTAGATGGCATAAAGTCAGGTCATGTTGTTAGCTTTGAATTTTTCATAAATGCTCTTTATCATGTCAAACAAATCTCTTTCTATTCCTAGTTTTCTGAGTAGTTTTCTTCTGTCTGTTGTGAAAGGACATTAGACTTTGTCATCTGCCTTTTCTATATCAATTGAGATGATGTATTTTCTTTCCTTCAATCTGTTATTATGGGGTATTGCTTTGATTTTATGATATTGAACCACCCTTGCATTCCTGGGATAAATACCAATTGCTCATGATATACCAGTATAATTCTTTACTAATGCTATTGGATTTGTTTTGATAACATTTTGTTGAGGAGCTTTGCATCTATATTTATAAAGGATATTGGTCTGTGATTTTCTTTTCTTGAGATGTCTTTATCTGGCTTGATATCAGAGTAATGTGGGCCTCTAAGACTGAGTTTGGAAGTATCCTTTCCTCTTTTATTTCTTGGAAAGATTTGAGAAAGATGTGTGATAATTCTCATTCAAATTAAAAACATCTGGCCCTGAATGTTTCTTTGTTGCAAGATTTTTTATTACTCATTCAATCTCTTGCTCCAGGTCTGTTAAAATTTTCCATTTAATCTTTAGTCAGTTTAGGTAATTTGTGTGTTTCTAGGTATTTGTACAATTTCATCTAGGTTATCTAATTTGTTTAACATCTTCTTTTACAATTCTTTTTATTTCTGTAAGGTCAGTAAGTAATTTCTCTAATTTCATTTCTGATTTTAGTTACTTATGAGCCTTCTCTTTCTCTGTAGTCAAGCTAAAAGTTTGTATTTTTTTATCTTTTAAAAAAAACCAATTTTTGTTTTGTTGGTTCTCTAATTGCTTTTCTATTTTGCTTTTATTTTTCTCTAAATTTTATTACTTACTTTCTCTGAGAACTTTGGGTTTAGTTTTCTCTTCTTTAACTAGTGCCTCAAGTTGTAATATTAGGTTATTGATTTGAGATCTGACTTCTTTTTCAATTCATGCATTTACATTTTAAATTTCCCTCTGAGCACTGCATTTACTGCATCACATAAGTTTTGCTATGTTGTATCTTTGTTTTTATTCATCTCTAATTTCCCTTATAATTTCTTCTTTGACACATTGATTATTTACAAGTACACTAATTTCCAAATATTTTTAAAGTATCTTTCATTGAAAGTATTACAGATGCCCCAATTTATTTCTCCCATTGACTCCCTCCTCCCCAGTCCCACTCAGGCTTTCACCACACTGTTATCTGTGTCCATGGATTATTTGAATTTTGGGGGTTTCCTTTTATTGTTGATTTTTAACTTCTTTCTATTATGGTTGGAAAAAATACTTTTTTATTATTTTAATCTTTAAAAATTCATTATGATTTGTATTATAGCCCAATATATGGACTATCCTAGAGACTGTTCATGTGCTTGAGAAGAATGTATATTCTGTCATTGGGCAGAACATTCTGTATATCTTTGTTATATCTAGTTGGTTTATAGTATTGTTCATGTCCTCTGTTTTCTTACCAATCTCTGTAGAAGTTCTATTCATTATTGAAAATGGTATTAAAGTTTTCAACTATTATTGTAGAAGTGTTATTTATCCC